AAATGAGATGTCAGATGAAAAATATTGACTTACAGACCTGTTTTAGTTTTTTAAGTTTTAGTTTTTTAAGTTTTAGTTATACTAAAACAGGTCTGTAAGTCAATATTTTTCATCAGACATCTCATTTGGAAACGCGACAGAACGGTGTAAATCTGATGCTCTTCCCAAAAATAAAAATTTATTAGGCGGCAACACTTTTGAAAAAAATAAGACGTTCTTTCTTGCAGATCTTTAGATAAAGCCCGTTTAGATAGATAGATAGATAGTTGGTTGGGTAAGGCACTGCGACCGGGGGGGTCTATTGTGCCCCTAGCTCATCACAACTCCTCAACCAGCCCCAGACCCCGGGGACAGTGAGTGTATGTGCTCCTCTCTTGGCCAGACGTACCCTATGCTCCTAAGCCTCCTGCGCGCCACGGTCTCACACTCTACAAGAAGGTGTAGGGGAGTTTCCCTGGCGGCATCGCAGAAGCGGCACAGGTCGCTGGACCAGATACCTAGTTTATACATTCAATTCAATTCAATTCAATTCATTTATTAAGTCAATGGCAAAAAGCCTTACTGACTAGATTTACAGATTCCTTAAACTTAAACTTAAAACTAATAAAATATTAAATCAATGGCGGATTATCTCGGTAGTAAGATTCAATATCTGCCTTGAAATGGGACCTTGACATTGCGAAATCGAGATCAATAATTCTGCAGATGCGATTTAACTCGTTGAGCCCTCTTATAAGTGGGGCAAATTTGAGATAATTCGATCTCAGAATACCAATATAAAAAATATTAGTAGAGCGTAGAGCTCTATTGGGGATATTAAAACATATCTGTCCAAGAAGAGCTGAACAATCAATGGCACCGGAAATTATGTCAAAGATAAACATTAGATTTTGAACAGCTCGCCTAATATCGAGCGGCTGAACATTAATTAACATACACCTGGCAGGATAGGGTGGCAGAGGACTAATAAAATTGAGAGGTTGAACAGCAAATCGTGTGAATTTGCGTTGAACTCTTTCAATTCTAACAGAGTGTGTTTTATACATGGGATTCCATATAACCGAGCCATACTCTAATTTTGATCGCACTAAAGAATTAAACAAAATTTTCCTAGTATAGGGGTCTTTGAAGTCCTTCGCATAGCGTCGAAGAAAGGCCAAGTTAGAATATGCTTTCGGTATAATATGGTTGACATGGTTAACAAAAGTGAAGGAAGAGTCAAAAATTACTCCCAAATCACGAAATTCCCGAACCGATGCAAGAGCTACATTAGAAACCGAATATGTAGACGCACGCGCATTCATAGACTTGGAGAACGTTATGTGGCAGCACTTACTACCATTGAGGCACAATTTATTTTGAATAGCCCAAGCGTTAAGAGCATTCAGATCTTCCTGCAAAAGCAGGGCGTCCGATTCAGAAGAGATCCTGCTGAACAGTTTTAAATCATCTGCATACAATAGATAATTTGTGTGCTTTAGGTGCAAGCCAACATCATTGATGAAAATTATAAATAAGATGGGACCAAGAATACTACCTTGTGGCACACCTGAGGTTGCAAGAAAGTTGTAAGACTTCACAGACTCAATTTGGACGAAAGAGATTCTATCAGTGAGATATGACTTAAGCCACAACAAAAAAACGGAGTGGAAACCTAAGTTTTCCAGTTTTGACAACAGTATTTTGTGGGATACTGTGTCAAACGCTTTAGAGAAATCGGTGTAAATTGTATCAACTTGACATCCGTCTTTAAAAGCAGAAACACAGAAATGAGAGAATACAGCAAGATTAGTTGTAGTCGATCGCCCTGCAACAAAACCATGCTGGCATGGATCGATTAAACTTTTGATCGCAAATGCTAACTTTTCCTTGACTACTTTCTCAAAAAGTTTGGAGCAAGTAGACAATTTAGAGATTGGCCTGTAATTTTTTACCTCATTTCTATGGCCTGACTTGAATATTGGAGTGATCGACGCCAATTTCCACCGATCAATGAAAGTTCCGGTGGATAGCGAAACATTGAAGATATGGCATAACGGAACACTAAGGGAATAGCTACATTTTTTGAATAAAAATGAACACAAACCATCAATATCCTTTTTCGATGAAGATTGTAAGGACGATATTCCATTAATAATATCTGTTTCGGATATAGACATTGACCCAAAGTCCAGGGATTTGGGTGTACCGATAAAAAGGCTGTTAGCCGTAGAATCAGAGTCAACAACAAAGTTAGATTTGAAAAAATCAGCAAAAAGATTTACGGAATCAACTAAGTTATTTGAGGAAACTCCATTATATTTAACACAGGTGGGAATATTACCAGAACCCTTTTTTGAACGTACATAGTTCCAAAAAGATTTCGGATTTTCTTTCAATTCATTCTCGCAGTGCAGAATGTATTTGTTGTATAAAAATTTATCGAGTACATTGAACTCTCTCATATAAAATAGATATCTTTCTCTAAATAATATATCGTTAGTTGCTTTGTACTTCTTAAAAAATTTGTTCCTTTGGTTTTTCAACTTTTTTAACCTAGAATTGTACCAAGGTAATCTATGTTTTTTAACCGGAAGCAGAGACAGATTTCTACTAAATACATCAGACAGTTCAAGCAGAAAGATGTCGAAACATTCGGCAGCGGTTTTACCAGAGAAACTAGACTCCCAATCAACTTGCGATATGCTCGAGTTGAGTAACTCAAAATTTGCATTTTTGAGATTAAACGATTGAATGTTTTGAGGAGTTCGGTCTATAGGGACAAAGTCTACAAATTCTAAGGTCAAAGATAGCGGCACATGGTGCATAACCGACTTAGAAATGGGAAATTGACACTCCGTCAAATTAGAAATTAAATTATCATCAACAAATATGAGATCTAATATATTGTTTAGCATATTCGCATAAGAGTTAATCTGAATAAGGTTACAACTAAAAAGGGTATCTAAAAAATTTATTTCATGCGCATAATTAACATTTGTTGGAGTTAAAATTACATCATTGTGCAATTTTGACCAACCAACCTTATTTAGATTAAAGTCACCCAAAATGCAGAAATGGCTATTTACATTATTTTCGTAAGTGTCGAGAATGTTATATACGTGGGCGCAGTACAACGAGTCGATACTGTCAGGCGGAATATACGACGCACAGATAAACAGATTACCAGATGGGCCGCATATAGAAACACAAAGTTGGTCTAGAAGAGAGTCACTGTTAGAGAGCTGGACAAAAGAAGAGAGGAGTGAACGCCTTACAGCAATTAAGACGCCACCACCTCTTAAACATCCAGTTTTGATGGGATCTCTATCTTTCGATACGTATGGTATAAGATTGGGCTAAAAAACTCGGCATCAAAAAAATCGTCGTTAAGCCAGGTTTCGACAATGACATACACATCGTATTCATAACGTGATGAGGCTAGGAATATATCTTTAGCTTTAGTTCTCATACCAGAAACATTTTGAAAGTAAATGTTTAGAGTGCTATTAGAAGAAAGGTTAGCCTGTTTAGCTACTGATTGCCCTTTGCCCCCTTTCCCTTGTGAAAAAAACGGAAGGGTTTAACTTTGACATCCGATGGCCATATAGATGGGTCAAACAACTTGCTATAAATAGTAGGCGAGATCCCAAGTTTAAAATTGCATCTTACTAACGATGATGGATCTATGCCCTTCTTAATAAGTTTATGGCAGTGAAAAAAAGATGGAGAAATGTTTGTTGTTCTCGACACAAAGTCGATAATATCGCTAGCATTAACAGACGGCTTAAAGGACGACAGATGTAACCATTTCAGACGAACGGCTAAGTCAAGATTTACATTAAAGTTACTTCCAACAACAATAGTGGACGGATTCCTGGGTTTGTATACAGTTGATTTTGTAACTTTAGAAGCATTCACTGGGGCAGAAACCCGATTAGCATAAGCAGCGACATTAGCATCCGTGGGGGTGTTTGCATCGTTTATGTTATTATTATCGTTGTTGTTTGTTTTTGGTAACTCTTCGGTATTCGCATTCTGTGCTGATGACACTTCGGTATTCGTATTCTGCGCGGGCTTGTTTGCATCGTTTATGTTGGAAGCGATACCGGGCGAATCATTCGGTGGTGCAGGTAGTAGCAAGTCATTAGTGTCTGCCAAATTATTATTGTTATTTGTTTTTGATAACTCATCGGTGTTCATATTCTGTGCTGATAACACTTCGGTAGTCCTATTCTGCGCGGGCTTGTTTGCATCGTTTATGTTGGTAGCGTTACCGGGCGAATCATTCGGTGGTGCAGGTAGTGGCAAGTCGTTGGTGTCTGCCAAATTGTTATTGTTGTTATTTGTTTTTGATAACTCTTCGGAGTTCGTATTCTGTGATGAGTCAGATTTGTTTGATTTCGTAGCAGCACTAGATTTACTGCCTTTGTTTGTCTTTTTAGATTTATTAGCAGGTTTTTTTGTTGTTGTAGCAGAAACAGGTTTTTTGTTATTCACTGAGTTTCCAGTTTCGTTAGTCATATGTTTGTTATGTTTGTTATTGTTTCCGCTTAGACCATTAGCATTATGTTTACCATCAATTAGCATACGGAGAGAGCTAATCTCGGCAGATAAGAGATCACATTTTTGCATAAGCAAAGTATTATCACTTTTAAGAGCATTTATTATCGTGAGAATTTGAACATTTTCTGAACGAAGAGTAGCAATGTCACTAGCTATACAAAGCAAAGTTACTTGTTTGTCACCTGTTTTCTCACTTGCACTCCCTTTTTCAAAGTTTGACGTAGGTTGAGTGGTTGGGGGCGGTGTAATTGTAGAAGCACGACTCTCAGCCCAGCAAAAGTTACAATAAAAATGTTTATTGGATGCAAGCAGAAAATCGAGATCCATCACTGACACGTTGACACAGTCCAAGTGAAAGAGGTCATTGCACTTAGCACACATCACTGTTCGTTGAGTACGATCAACCTTTTGTCCACACACACACGGCATAATGGAGACTAATTTATAAATTTACTTATTAAATATAAATAAATTATTAGAATAGAATTTAAATTTACAATTTAAATTCGCAAAGAGTCACTGTCTCAAAATAATTATAGGCAGTAATTATTTATGATTTGCAAACTAAGCAATTATGAACAAAAAAAACACGGAGCGAAAAATAACACGTCCGCACCGTTCAATGTCTCAATACACCATGATGCCCTCTTAGCCTACAGTGGCCAGTTAAAAATCCTGTAATTACCCTCAGTTTGTCCTTTGGAAAATTCATGAGTAGCCTGTATCTTGTCAGATTGAAACCTCCTAATAAGCTTTTCGCCTGAAGTTGACCCATGGTGTCACGCCAATGCAGTTCCCTCAGTTTGCAAATGTCCCTTCTGAGCATATCCTTTATGGTACTTGGCCCCACTGCCAGAAAGGGCTCAGGTCCTATCAGGGTCGAGGAAGCGGCTTATCTGGCCAGGTGATCAGCCTCCTCATTTCCTGCAACCCCCATGTGCCCTGGTACCCACATTAGTTGGATATCATTGACCTCCGCCAGAGCATTAAGCCTCTCGACACATTCCAAAAACCAAGGAGGACTTGATCTCGAATGATGAGAGAACCATAAGTGCCGCCTGACTATCACTTAGTATAAGTATCCTTTCATTCCTATAATTCCTACTCATGTTGATCTCAGCGCACAAATTGATGGCATAGACCTCCGCTTGAAAGATGCTTGGGAAGGTTTCCAGGGGCACCGAAAGCTTCAGCCTGGGGCCTTACCCGCCTGCTCCAATCCCCGCAGGTGTTTTGGAGCCGTCAACGTACCACTGTATTGTGCTCGCCTGTATGTGCCTTTCCATAATAGAGGCACACCAGGTCACCTTGCTGTAAGTGTAAGTCCTGAAACTCCTTTTGAAGATAACCTGTCTGTTGATATCGTCCCTGGGGAAAAGAGCCAGGGGGAGCTGGGTACCTTGTCCCTGTTCCTAGATGATAACACCTTGCCTTTTCCGAAGCCCTCCCTAGCAAAGTTAAGGAGGGTTCGCTTTGCAACCTGTTCAACTAAGAGGTGCAGTGGCTCGAGTTCCAGCATTACCTCCTGCGCTGCCGTCGGGCATGTGCGCATTGCTCCCGTAATGCACACACATGCCAGACGTTGAAGTTTAGAGAGGGTCTGCCTCACCGTTACTAATGTAGTCCCGGAATTCCAAACCACCGCACCGTAAGTTACTATAGGTCTCACTATCATGGTGTACATCTATCTGAGGATCCTCAGAGTGCACCCCAGGATTTGCCCGCCAGACGTTTGCACACCATCATCGCTCTCGTGGCCTTGGAGGTGACCGCATCAACAGGGGTCTTCCACAGATGCTTGGAGTCCAGGGTAAGCCCCAGATACTTAAACTCTGTCGCGACATTGATTGCGACCCCGTCCAGGGTCAGGTTCCCCATCCCCTGAAGATTTCGTTTCTAGGTGAAGGGGACTATAGCTGTCTTGGAGGGATTGATATTTAAGCCTACGTCTGCGCACCACCTTTTTGCAAGGTTAAGACCTCTTTGGACGATGTCACAGAGAGTACTAGCGAACTTCCCTCTAGCAATAATCACTATGTCGTCTGCATACCCTTGGCATCGAACGCCCTCGTTAGTGAGTAGCTGTAGGAGTTCTTCCACAGTAGAGGAGATAATACTCCCCCTTGCGGGCACCCTTTTGTTGTTTGTATTTGAACAACGCTGTCACCGACTTCAGTTTCGGCTATCCTGGTCTGCAGTTTACCTTGCTATCCAACGCCGGATGGTTGGCTGAACGTTATGTTTCTCAAGAGCTCTGTCAACTCCCGAATAGGAGGCATTATCAAAGGCCCCCTCGATATCGAGGAAGGCACAGAGCACCACCTCATCACACTCAAATGCCCCTTGTATTTCCTCCGTTAAGGCATACAGCGCAGTGTCCGTGGATCTACCCACCCTGTACGCGTGCTGGTTGGAATGCAGAGGGGTCTGTTTCAGAGCGTTAAACCTGATCTCATGGTCAATAATTTTCTCCATGGCCTTCAACATAAAGGATGTGAGACTTATCGGCCTAAATTACTTGGCAAGAGAGTAATCTCTCTTACCTACCTTCGGGATAAAGATGACCCTGGCCCTTTGCCACACCATGGGAATGTGGGCCAGCGCTAGACTGTCCCTCATAACATCCACAAGATGTGGAAGTAAGAGCTCTCCACCCTGCTTCAGCAACATTGCACATATACCATCCACCCCAGGGGCCTTGTACCGTTGGAAGGAGTCCAAAGCCCACCGCACTGTTTTCAGGGTTATAAGGCTCTTAGCCAGCATCCAGTCCGGTGGGGATGGCCTGTACGTACGGAACATAGCTTCCTCAGTGGTGGGAATGGCGTCCGGAAAGTGGGCCGACAACAGGGCGAGTGCCCTTTCCTGTTCCGTACCTGAAAAGGTCCCATTAGGTAGCCTTATTGTCAATCTCGTGCCTGTGTTGTCCCTTGCCAAAGCTTTATGAAGCCTAGCAGCTGCAGGAGTGGATGCAATGTTTTCACTAAAGGTCCTGAAGCTGCTACGCTTGGCCTTTCTGATCTCCTTATTGTACTTTGTCAGACTGACTGAGTATTCCTCCCAGTTCCCAGTGCGCTTTGCCCTGTTGAACAGTCTGCGAACCTCTCTCCTAAGAACCGAGAGTTCCCGTGACCACCAGGGAGGCTGAGCCTTCCCCTTAGGCTTTGACACGGGACAGCTGGACGTAAAGGCATCTAAGATTGTGCCGTTCGGCCTATTAACCCTGTCCTCTAACGCCATACAATCTACCTTTCTTCCCTGTACCTCTATTCTTGGTAGGTTCAGTCTAAGTACCTCTTCATATTTGGCCCAGTTTGTTTTCCTGGGGTTTCTCTTATGGTAACCTGTCTGACAAGCAGCTCCCAGTGCAAACCGGACAATCCTGTGATCCGACAGTGAAGGCTCAGATGAGACTTTCCACTGGCCGATCAGAGGACTGGCCAGTCTGTTGCTGATCGTGATGTCAAGAACTTCCTCTCTGACCCTAGTAATGAACGTTGGTTCATTGCCGACATTGTAAATGCTCAGGTCTACACTTATTAATATATTTTAAAAGGCACTCACCCCTACGGTTAGTGTCCGAGCTGCCCCACTCCATATTGTGGGCGTTTGCATCACAGCCTAAAATGACAGGAAGTCTTTTCCTGCGGCAGGATTCCAGAAGCTGCTGTACCTCAAGGGGCGGCACGTTGGCGTTGTCCCCCGGAAAGTAGGATGCAGCCAAGACCAGCTCCAACTCCCTGCCATCAACCTTCAAGGTAGTCTGGACTGCTACCAGGTCCTGTGTAAGAAACTCTGTAATTCAGAAATAATTAATATTATTTTTCAGCACTACACACGCTCTGGGCCTCTCGCAAGAGAGGTCCCAAAGTACCTTATTGTTATTGTGGTTAAGGCTCCTCACCTGGCCTCTGTAGGTCCACGGTTCCTGTATTAGCAGTATGCCCAGGTCTTCCGTGGCAAACCTGCTCGCAATGACCGCCGAGGCGGCCACCGCGTGATGCAGATTGACCTGGGCTACCTCTACTGCTGGTGCCTTCACGTAGTCGAGGGCTTTTGTCCCGGAACTCACCGGAGCTGGTACCTATGCCGGTTCTATTGTGTGGTTGGCTAGTGCCAGTGCCTGTTCTGACAGCGAGTTGACTGGTGGGGCCGTGGTCGACTCTGTCGCTGGGGCCGCAGTGGAGTCAGTTGCCGCGTCAACACACATGTCTTGCGACTCTGACTCCTTGCTGCCTGTCGTCTTTTGCCGCCACGGCCTCTCCGAGACCTAGCTGTACAGGAAATTTATGTGGAATCCGGCTCCCTTTATTCTGACGTACGACGCCTCGTCGATGCCCAGGTTGAGCCTGAGCCCGTTGTCCTGAGCGTCGCACGACACCACCTTCCACGCAGCCATGTGGACACCCTCGTTCTGGGCCTGAATAAGCGCCAGCACATACTCAGCCGATTTCTCGGCGCATCTAGGGAAGAACACCGAGATCGTGTGCACCGGCGGGATGTCCTCCCCCCCTTTCGTGCATAGCTCGGGTCCCTTCCACCCTTCAATAGCCGGTGCCTTTTCTGCCAGCCAGGCTGCAGTCCGCTCATCCTTGCAGTCCACAAGGAGCATGCCTGATATGAAGAACACTCCACAGCACACCAGAGGGTGCCTCCACCCTTTTAGGACCTCGTCCATAATCACACCCTGGAGTCTGGTTAGGTCCTCAGGGCATAGAGCAGCTGCAGGGTAATCACAGGGCAGCATAGCCACCCGGATGCCTTTGAGAGCATCAGAATAGCTGGGCTGCTGAGTGGTTCCTCCCTGAGGC